ATTCGATGGGATCCCGAAATTCGAGTAATTAAAAAACTTATATTAAGTCCTGAGCAACCACCAACATATCTTGTTAACGGTCCTCATGGTAAGTTGGGAGTATCACGTTGTGCATATACTAGAAAGCAACTCCAAGTAGTTCCAGATAACGAGAATCCCCCTCCAGATTCAGTTATTCGTAGTAAACAATATAAATTCATTCCTGAAAAAATACTTAAGCAACGAATTTACAAAGGTAAAAAACAATACCTAGTTAAATGGTGTCGTTATCCTGAGAGTGAATCAACTTGGGAACCAGCAAATAGATTTAAAGAGGATGCACCTAATCTCGTAAATGAATTTCTTGGAGTAAAAAAATAATTATATTTCTTTTTTTTTGAAATGCGTATGTAACTAATGATTTAACGCTTCCAAAACTGGTGAATTTGATTTTTTGTGCTCATCTCTTGCTGGAATTATAGGGATAAAGAAGTCTTTTCCATTACAAGTAATAGCCATATGCTTTCTGGATTCGAATAAATCATAATTATATTCTCTAAGACGAGGTCGGTTCAAAATAAGCTCACGATATGGATAGTATGCAATTACAGCAAAATTATCTGTTATAGTACATCCTGGTGCCAAATTCATTTTAACGTTTTTAACTATACCTAATGATTTAGTATTAGTCGATGCTCCAAAAAGATTGTTAATCTTACTTGTATCAAGTACTAATCCAAGTTCTTTATAAATTTCTTCAGGCATAATAGAAATATTGCAACATGAATCTATAAGAATTGGGAGTTTTAATTTTCCCTCTACTACACCTTCAACGGATGCTAAATCTTTTTTATTATCTAGGCGCAAAAGATCAATATCCATAGAATCATCAGAATAAGCTTCACTAAACTTCTGAATTTCTTTGCTTGTAGTTTTCTTAGTTAATCCCAAACGAGTCAATTCTTCTATAATTAATTCATGAATAATTTTTCTCAAATTTGCGGTATTAATTGATATCCCCTTACTTTTTGACTCCTTTTTACCATCTTTGGCCTTAGTAGGATTTTCAATTACTTTTTTTTTCGAACTAATTGGAGAGTATATTCATCATCATCAGTTGCAATTTCACGAATCAAATTAGTATCCATAGCATCAGGATCATTAATATTAAGAGTATTAATTCTATTGGAAAGGCTAGCAATTTCCTTATCAAGTTCCCTTTGCTCAAGTCTTTCAGCAATTCTATTTGCTATCTTAGCCCTTGAATGAGCTCTTTGGAATGGTTCGTTTGGATAAAGTCTATTCCAAGTATTGGAATCAATAAGGCCCAGATCATATAAAAACTTATTAGTTTTATAATCACTATGATGCTCCTTTGTTTGTAATGTAGATGGAGGTGCAATTGGATCTCTTATTGGAGTAGAATTATTTTGATCAGGATTAGTAAATGGCTGGGCAGATGTACTTGGAATTTTTGCTTGTAATTCCTGAATCTGTACCTGGAATTTTTGTGTAATTTTTTCAGTAGCCTCCTTAACTATTCTATCCACATCTTCTGGCGAAAATCCAGAAGGTTTATGTGATGCAGGTTGTGCTTGAGCTTGATGGTCAATTCCTCCTGTTCTCTTAGATAGACCTAATTTCATTTCAGATTTTCGTTTTTCAACTTTCTCTAAATTTTTAACTAATTCAGTTACAGGTTTTTCAGAGCCAATTCGTTCTACTTCAAGCTGATTGTCTGGAGATAGTCCTCTAAAGAATTGATGATTAACTACTTCATCGCCAAAATTCAGCAGTTTACCATATTTTTTTACTTTTTCATAGAAAGT